CTGAAAATACTGATGGACTGACAGTGGTGCAGTAATGAGAAAGCATAAAATGAAGGCAATAACAGAAAAATAAACTAAGTATTGTGGAGTTTTTTTCCTAAGAAAAAATAAATTAGGACATACTCAGTGTTAACAACTCTGAGAAATTTATTATGCTAAATTTTAATTTTGGACTCTGTTGTGGCACATCCCTATGAAATACTTGCAAATTCATTGTTGTACGAGAGAAATGTGCATTTAAGTTTCAGGCTACTGAGTAGTGTAGTTCATTCTCGAGCCATTGGCCAAGCATTTCTTTTTCTCTACTAGTGTTTCCTGTGTGCTTCCCAACTCTTACTCTGAACAGACCTTTATGAGCAGTATCTTGCCTCCTTCTAGAGAACGCATGGTTGTTAATGTCCAAGTTAACTCATGTTAAATAGAGTGTTCAAGAACATTTTTAATGTCCAACATTATTGAACAAGAGCTAGAAAAGTGGGAATTATGAAAATTATTATAAAGAGAAAGTAATAGTTTTTCTTTTTGTGGATAGAAAAAGTTGCACAGAGTTATTTCAAGGGCTGGGTTAGAGTGGAACTCAGTTCTTATTAGCTTTGCAACAGCAAGATAAAAGGTAGGCCCTTCTGTGATCCACATAACGTGATGTTATTCATGCATGCGTGGAGATCAGATTCTGCTGTCTGTATCGTGTTTTATTGGTTTAAGGAGTAGAAAAATCATGCATTTTACACATAAAAAAGCCAGATGGAAGAATGTTTTGTTTGGCTGCTTGGAGAGCTGGTAACACAATGTTTTATTTCCAAAGACAGGATTAGAAATCATTATTTTTGTTATTCAAAGTTCCCAATCATTTTTTTACACCAGTACTGATTGTACTTCACTCTGTTAATATGTTTACTTATTCCCTCTTATTTAGTTCTGTTTTATGCCCCTGTAATTGCTCGCTGCTGCAAGGATGAATTGGATAGGTTTTTTTCATTTATTTTTGTGTGGATAAAGCTGGCTAACTCTCACTATGAGTGTATATTAAAAAAAAATCTGATGCAAATCATGTGCTATCTGCAATAAATACATACATAAACAATCTAAAAGCAGGAAATGATTTACTGACTCATCTTGGTGTGGGGTAAGGGAGGCATCCTTTCTCTGTGCCAATTAACAAGAATGCTGCTATTTTGTATTAGAGACTTATGGTTGCTGTATGAGGTCTTAAAAGGATTATCTTTGTTGTTGATTTGGTTTGGGTTTGGATTTAGTCTTTAGCCATGCTGTTTATCAGTTTCTGAGTGATGGTGACACTGTATTGTCTATATCCAGTGATGGGGTTAATAGACAGTAAAGAAAACTACTTGTCAATGTTTGAGTTTAAAAAGTAGATCCACTTGTCTCTCTTTACCTCAGTGTATGTGTGTATAATGTACATTTTTTAATTATAGTGTAAATTATACCATTGTTTGGTCAATAATGCTCATTTGTAAAATAAATCTTCAACTAGTAATGAAGTTCTTCAACTAGTAATGAAGCCAAAAAGTGTGATGACATAACAATTATAGTGGCAAATCTGGTTTATGTAGCTTTACAATTTCCCGTTCGATCTGTATCAGATGACTGTTACATTAGTATTGCTGCAGTCCTTTCTTCCACTATTTGTAGCTGTCTACTGGTTACATAGCCTCCAGTTTCTCCCGCCTCTCTTATTTTTCTCTCTTAATTTTTCAAACTAATAAAGTCTTTTGGGCAGAGCCTGTCCCCTTTTTCTGATTCTAATGCAGTGAAGCTTTAAGACACAACCAAAATACAAGGAGTAAATAGTACTGGAGGACTGAAGGAAAAAGCATCGTTTTGCCTGCTTGGCATATAACCTGCAAGCAACAACTCCTTTTGTATATTTTGCGTGTTAAAGAACCCTTTTCAGGGTTCTCACACATCTCCAGAGAAACTAGTGGGTATGTGAATAAAAAGTATGAAACTCGGGTACCTTTGAACAGGTTCCCAGTTAATTTGGGATATCTTCTTTTTAATCCTTCCTTGAAATTTCTGTTACCGAAATCCTTTGCAGATCTCCCCATTGCCTAGTGTTCTGGTTTTTGTTTCTGTAATTACAGTCTTCCAGAAAAGACAAAATGCCTCAGTTTTTAGGCCTGGTTTCCAGATATTGTCCAATATTGAATCCCAATAAGGTGTAGGAGGGAAGAGAGTGCGTGAAGAAACAGATTTCTGTGATGCAGTTAGAGTTGAATCTGCATTTGAATTAGGGAAAAAAATAGCTGTTGGCTAGAAGCACACCATTGCCATAAAAACATATGCAATATTTAATGTAGTTGCAGCTAGCACCAAAAAATCCAACTTACTTCTGTTTTTACAACGGGAAGTAGATGTTTCATGGTGCCATTAGAATGTATGGAAATAAAACTGTTCCTGTATCTTTAAAACCTATATGTTAGATTTTTTACAACAATATCCTTACTGTTTTTACATATGATGGTGGGGGGAGCTTGAGATTTATTTGCTTCTTTCTGAAAAATACCCGGTTCTCCTCTCTCCACTCCTAAACAGGGAAGAAAACTCTTTTTGTTCCTGCTAGTCAAACAAATATAACTTACCTTGAGGTTTGCCCCTGTTGTAAACTTGAGTTACTGTGTGTACAGCAGTGGCTTCACTTCGAAGAGCGGCACCTGCGACTATAAAAAAAGTCTTCATTAAAAGATTGCATTCATCTGGATTGGAAATAATACTGAGACGTAGAGTCTTATTAAGCTTTGGTATGTGTTTATCAGCATAAAATGAAATGGTTGATGAAAAAGTAAATTAGGCTGCATTTATTTTCACTGTGTAAAATTTAAGAGTTAAGAAGTTCCTACAAGTAGGAACTTAACAAAGGAAATTTCCAGTTCAACCTTAACTATTTATGAAAGGGGAAAATGGAAAGTACAATAGAGCAAGGTTCAAGTGAATATAGTTGTTCAAGCTCTGTTTTTTATTCTGTTTTCCTAATGTACGTCCTCAAGCACAATTGTTTAAAGTATTATGGATTAGAGATTTTTTTTTTCTTTTGCTAGTTTAAATTTAATATTTTCTTCAGATCGTAGTTTCTCTTTGGTTAAATAGCTTCAGTTTCTGCTACAGGTAATGGCCACCACTAATATTTCATTAATCCTTTCTGCGTTGGATTTTATTCAGATGTTATTTAACTATTCCAAGTTGAATCATATTTTAGGTGATATTCAACTTTGTATTCAGACCCTTTTAAATTTATATGTCCATGGTGTAGCTTGTACTAGGTGTTTAAACTCCGATTGTTTTCAGTGGAATTCAACTCAATGTAGTCAACAGAACTAACAATTTTTATCCTCAAGTGAGCACTGACATTGGGTCAGTTGAGTAGATCTAGTCAATAAAGAGAGTAGTTGCTTATACTGGGATTTGAAACTCCTGGCTCATATGAAGACACCTACAGAACATATACCTTAATTTAGTTGTGTGAGTCTAGACCTGATTACTACCTTTCATCTTCCTGTGTCTTTGGTTTTTTTTAAAAAAAAAGATTTCTTTTTTTCAAAATAAAACATCACTTATGTATATTAGTGTTGTAAAATGTGGTTCTGAAAGGTCATAAATGATATCATTTGCAAATGTGAACTTTTATATAATGAATAGAATACTAAATCTGTTGTAGGAACTGTGATTTCCTTAAGAAGCTGCAGTCATTCAAGGAATTAGTTTGTATTTAAAAGTGGTATATTTTGCTTCTTCCAGATGGTCCTCGGCCCTCACAGAAAGAAATCATATCACTAAGAGCGTTTATGCTGCTGTTTTTGAAACAACTTATATTGAAGGTAAAACAGTCTATTCCAGATGGAAAACATTGAGATCTGTTATATACATGTAATAGGATCTTTCATAGTAGTAAATATGTAATACCTGTCAGGTATTGTATCTGTTTCTGGTTAATTTTAATGTTCATGCACATACTTCTAATCAACATAAAGGTAGTAAATCTGTACAATATTTCTTAGTAACCTCACCAAACTATGCCGTATATATTTTATTAAATGTACTTGCAGAAATAGTATATGACACTACAAAACCTTTCAGGTATTTGCGCTTTTTTGTGTGATAGTAGATAGTTGCTTGGTTGATCAAATGAAAGAGGTAATGGCAGTTGTTTAGTTATTGCTTTATTGTTTTTTTTGATTCTACCAGTGGTTGAAATGGTCTAGGACTCTTTCTCTCTGTTACAGCTGAACGCTAGTCTTTAAAGTATAATCTGTCATTTGAGACTAGACTAAAAACCAGTATTTTCTGGCCTGTCTTATTCCTCCTGGTTTTTCTGTTCAGTGCCAGGGATTGGAGGAGTGGCAGTAATCGTTTATAGTATCTGAGGGCCCACACTGTAAGAATCCTTTCTAGCAGGAATAGAGGGCTGACTTCATGCTTCAATGTGATAAAGAAAAGCAGTGGAATGAAAGAGAGAATTTAGTCTTTTGAGTTTAAATAGAAAAAATTGTAGGATTATTTGACTTGGTCCAAGGTTGTTTTGAGCCTAACTTAAAGAATGTATTTTCTCTGAATAATGCCCCTCCTTTTTTTTTTTTTTTTTAGGATCGAGGAGTGAAAGAAGATGAACTGCAGAGCATATTAAATTACTTATTAACAATGCATGAGGTACATTTCTGTAATTACCTATCTTTTACTGTAACCAATTGTACCAGCTCTATGGGAAGCCTGCTGTTGAGGTTAGTTTGTAGAATAACATTGATGCTTGTCATACAGGATGAAAATATTCATGATGTGCTGCAGCTGCTAGTGGCACTAATGTCCGAACATCCAGCATCCATGATACCTGCCTTTGATCAGAGAAATGGGATACGGTAAGACAGTGAAGTGAAAAAATACCTTAAAAGTAGTTCCAGTATCATCACTCTCCAGATTGCTTCTTTTTCACATAAATATGACACTTGCTGGATCATTCAAACGACAATTTTATTAACTTAGGCTTTATTTTTTGTCAAAAACAGAGTGGTTTTGATAGCTTGGAGGAAAAAAATTTCCACTTAAGGTTATCATTATGATATTTGAAGGTAAATGTACTGTTGTACTTGCTTCAGAATCTCAAATAGAATATGTAATTAACAAGATGCATCAAAAAGCCAAGTATGTATCTCAGAATTTTGAATATTCTGTCTTCAGATATTTAACATAATCTGGAGGGAAGAAGAGGAAAACAAGAGAAATTGTGCCCTAACCTCTCAAATTCTCTCTGAAAAGATTAAAAAAGCTATCTGTGGAATTCATATCTGTTTGACAGTAAAATTAATAACTGGTAATTCCCAGTGTTTTTGTTGTTTTCTTATGCCTATTTTGGTAATACAGTTTTTTTCAGAGATTAATAATTTTCATGTTAATAATTTAATGTTTACTATAGAATTTTATTTTGTGCTGTTCTGAAAATACTTTGGAAAATGCAAGGGGCTTGTAAAACAGGATGAAAAAAAAACATCTATTACCTGATAAATTCAAGCTTTCTTTTGCCAAAATACTGAGATCTTTGTACAAATACTTGTATTTAAAACTGTTGAATGACAATGCTAGTTGAAGGGAAGACTCATTGTACTCACGGTTAGGACTTTGTTTTCTGCCTATAGTTGTCTGTATTCAGGCAGAATTGTATTCCTGACACCTTTTGAAGAAAGGTAAGACTGATCTAGAGGATTTAAGACATCTTTATGTAACATTTGTGGTACCAATATTAAATTGTCTGATGGTGCAGTCTGTGTTTAAAAGCCTGTGTTGAAAAAGTGGAGAGAATGCACAGAATTGCAACATTTCAGTGTTCAAAAAAAATGCCTTACATAGAATTAGGGGTTCATCTGCTTAGGTTACGAGAGGACAAAAGCCTCAGAGGTCATTTGATAATGGCATAAATCCTTTCAAAAGAGGAAGGTATTGTCTGCTAAAGCGCTTTTTAGTGGAGAAAGACTAAAAAGAATGGCTAAAAGCTGAAGCTCGGCTAATTCAAATGGGAAACTAAAATAAAAATTAAAAAATTTGTTGAAGAACAGTCCAGGGGAAGGGTAATGTTTTCTGTCTCTTGGTATCTTCAAATCAAGACTGGTTTCCTTTCTGAAAGACTGTAGAATTTGTGCTTAAACTGATCATATTCATTAAATAAGTCATCAATTAAATTAGTTAAATTTTGAGGCCTTTTTTATCCAGGATTTAAAAACATGGGGTGTATTTTTTTTCTACCTCAAATTTTGATGCAATGAGAATGAGACTTTATAGGTGTATATGGGATTTTGTGTAATATATTGCCATATTTAACTTTTGACAAATGAAATTTCAGTATAAACATCCTGTGATTAAATGCAGGTACCCTATCCTGTGTAGAAAGGATATTGAGTAGGGTTTTTATGAATGAAAGGAGATTTTCAGCAGCATCCAGGTACTCCAAGAAACTCCAGGATGTGACCTTATGTCTTCCAATCTGCTTCTCTTGTCTTAAGCTACAGCTACTCAGACTGTCTTTAATTTTATTGTTCCAAGGTGGAAGTATGAGAGAAGGTTGTTGCTTTCTGTTATAAAACATTGAACTGAACCAAAAGACACTATGTCTCTAACCTAAAGAATTCATAATCAAACTCTTACGCCATGCTTGGGTGCTTTCAGTATATCCTTCCATTTTGTATAAATTGCTATTTTTATAGTTTTATTTATTAAGAAATATCCCTGTTCAGTGAAATACAATCTATATGTGTGATGTTTAGTAATAAACTGAAAAAACTTGTTGAATTTGTTTTTCTTTTTTAGAGTAATTTATAAATTATTGGCTTCCAAAAGTGAGAGTATATGGGTGCAAGCTTTGAAGGTCCTTGGATATTTTCTTAAACACTTGGGTCATAAGTAAGTGTAGTTTTAAAATTGTCCTAGTCATGTATTTAAGCTTACAGTTCTTCTTGTCTTTTTGTCATGATTACTGTATATTCTTTGACAGTCTTTAGAAATTACTTAAAATTTTTAGGCTTTCTCATTAATAATTTGCACCTTTATACATTCGGATAAAATTAATTTTCCAGTTAACTTGTTACTACTATGACATTTGAAAACATACAGTGATTGTCTGCCAAATACATGATATGCTGAAATTCAAGTCTTAAAATGATTGAAAAACTTTTTCCAAAAATACATTTTATAAATGTTTTATGAACATACAATGTTTATAACATTGTATGTTCAGCTAAGGATAATAGGAAACATATGAGTGTCATCAAAATTTGTTGCTGAAATTTTCAGTGTCATTGCAATAGAAGTTTCAGGGCAGTACTTTTAAAAATAGCTTTAAAATTATGGGAAAAATGAAATAGAAGAATATGTTATTCATATGGGAAAGTTTTGGAAGGAAAAGCAAACAGACTAAATGATCATTAAAAAAGGAGGTAAGGACATACCTCTATGCAAGAAATATTCACATTTAAAAAGAACTGGTGTCACGAAATAGACACACATAGTCTCATCTTCCATATTTATATTTTGGTGTTAAGAAAGAATTAAAAAGCATGCAGTGCTGTGTAATCTCCTGCTGCTTACTTTTCCCCTTCTACATGTGGTGCTTAACTATCTGCCGGGGTTAACCCACAACAATATTCCAGTGGGAGACTGCACAGTATAGAAATTAACTGTGTGCTTCACAAGAGACTTCATCATGTAAAACCTCTTTAGAAAGCAAAGGAGCTAGGAGTCCAGCCAGAGTGCAGTATTGCTAGACATGCTTTTCTCAGTAAGATCAATAAAGTATGACTATATAATTGAGAGACAGTTAGCTGAGAATATGCTCGCAAATGGGATTTTTCTTTTGGGATCCAGCAAGCCAAATAGTGTTCTGGGAATTAATAAAGCAAATTGATAGTCCACTCAAGAATCTCCAAGGGCTTTTCAAACATTACATCAAATCATTCACATTGATAGGAATTGGATTAAGTAAGGTACACCAGATGAAGGTTTGACTTGTGCAGAAGCCTGGTCATGTCCAAATAAGTAATTTGTTTAAAATATTCATCGCTTATCCAGTAAATCAAGTAGCAAACTCTGTCAGTGGAACATTACAGAAAAAGAAAAGTGAGATTTTTCAGAAGCTGACCTTTCACTTCCTGGTCCTTAGCATCTACTTGCACTTACGGATGTATGAGTGTAGTTTCCATTGTTGCGTGGAAGTATGTACTTAGCACAAAATTAAGTAACTTTGTTTTTCATGTAATTGAAGTCATTGAAATCCACTTGAATATTCTGTGTAACTTCCAAAGTTTTTTTTAAATTTTCAGACCTCCGAACATCTGTAAATGTTCACATTTTATGTAGATTTCAGCAAGTAAAAATGCCCCTCCCCCCCTTTTCATATTTTACAGCTAGCGCTTGTGAGGTGGGCCTATTTATGCACACGCATATGTGTGCATACGCATGATTTTATAAAACTGTAGTCAACTACAGGAAATTCTAAGTGATTATAAAATTATAAACTACATAAAATTATAAAGCACTTAAATTTCTGTTTTACAGTACAGGAAACAGGCATTGTATTTTAATACACTAAAGCAGAATTGCATAAAGAGATATTATAATGTGATTTATGAAATCTGAACAAATACAATATTAATAACAAATGTGTAGGTACAAAACCAGTTACCATTGCTGTAGTTCATATATATTCATCGCACATTAAGCTATGGAGTGGAGGTAATTCATTCTTAGGAGAAGTAACCAGTAATGTGTTAGATGAGAGCCTGAGTAACTTAATTGATTATTCTTTGCGATCTGTGATGATAGACTACTTTGTCTAGCCTTAACAGTTGGCAGAATCCTGTTCTTTTCCTTCTCTGCCATCTTTGATTTTTTCTACACCACCACTGAAATCATAGTCCATTGTTTACTTTTGGTTTTTATCTGCACATTTAAACCTTCCAATGAATTTTCACTTCCATGTGCTACATCATAGCTCACAAGGTTGAATACTTGCCGTTTTTCTCATAAGTAATTCATGATCTTTCTTCTGTGCACAGAAAAGTACAAAGTACTGTTACAAGTTGTTGCCACTCTCTTTTGTGGTTATTTGAAAATTATAATAGAATGTATTAATTTCAAAAGTTCTAGAATGAATCTATGTAATTTAAACCTGTGTTATTATCATCAGTAATCATGAAAAGGGAGTTTTTTAGCTTTTGAATGCATAAAATTTTACAGAAATTTTACTATATTTTATCTTATTTCATATTTTTCTGTTGCTTTAATATAGATTACTATTTTGAATAATGTTTTTTATTTCATATTCATAACAGTAGTAGATAAATTTAATGATGCAATTTATGAGAAGTACTCTATTTATGATGTTATATTTAAACATTTTAAGAGTGTACTGTTTTGGAACAGATGGAATTCACTGATGTGAGCTGCTTTCTTCTCTGCTTTTTAAGATTTGAGTAGGTTTTGATCCTAGCTATAAAATTCACTTCAATCACTTGGAATTTCATGACTTTTCAGGATTTTATTTCCTTTGCATTGTAACATATGTTATTCCAGGATTTAATTATTTTGGCTGCATGAGAGAATGCTATATAAAGAGAATGGCAGTACTGATATATCTGTATGTGTTAGTATTTATGTTGGAATATCTGAGGTTGGATTGTCCTAAGTTCTTGAGAGTGACAAAAGATGTGTTCTGCAGTGATCACATTTTATCCAGCCTGTGAACATCTTGAACTCTCTCAGCCTAAGTAAGATAGAAGGGGATTCCTTTGTCTTTTTCCACTGTGAAAATCATGGAGGGTGAGAATGGTGTCTCATTTGTTTTATACAAAAGCCCATCCCAAATACAGCATTGCATTCTGAGAACCTTTGTGTATTACTACAATTGCGTTCATATTGGAAAAGATCTTAAATGATGTTTAATTCGTAATATTTACAAAATAACAAGTTTTAGAACTTTTTAGTACAACATCAAAATATTTGGCTTTTGGGTTTTTTGCATTTACTTAAAATGTTCAACATGCTTGGCATTTTCCTAATATTTTTATTTTCTCTTCCAGGCGAAAGGTTGAAATCATGCATACTCACAGTCTTTTCACTCTTCTTGGAGAAAGGTTGATGCTGCATACAAATACAGTGACCGTTACAACATATAACACACTTTATGAGGTACAAATTATTGAACAGAGAGATTGTCATCTCTACTGTAAAAATTATGACTTAATTATATTGTGACTGTGGGCTTTATAATATCCTCATTCTCAAGACTTCTGAGAAAATTTTAGATAGAAATTTTAAGAAAGGATTTCTTGGTTCAGAATGTATTTTGCCGTGCTTTGGATATTTTTATTAACAACGTCATAATTTTTACGTAGTCTCTATAAAACTTTCCACTTACAGCATTACAAAGGGTGATGGAAAAGATCCTGCTATTTAAGATGTTCATCATTTTACACAAAAAAAAAAGTTACTGCAGACCTGCAATTGCTTTTACTTTCCTGCAATGGAAAGCGCTGGAGCCAGAGATGCCTTTTTTTCCTTCTTCTTTTTCTTTTTTGTGCCATTCCTTTCAAGTTTACAAAATTTTGAAATGTGCTGTTTTTCTTTTTTAACTAGTAATGCTGATAGTATGCCAAAACGATAATGGAACACAGCCACTTCTATGCAACAGATATTGTTTGAGGCAAATACGACCTCGAAGCATTCAACTGTTCTACCAGGCTCTTGTAGAAACTTCAGTTTTGATGATGAGCAATTTTGTTAAAGCAAAATACTGACAACATCAAGTTGGTCGAAACCCATGTCCTCATGCCTGCAAATGCATAAAGATCATGTCCAATCTTCAATTATTTGTAAAATGGTGACTTAGAATTGAACCTTTCGTAATTTCTGAGGATCTTATGCAGTAGAAAGATTTTTTTTTTAATCATGCTATTTTTTTTTCAGTCACAAATAGATGTAATGGATAGATACTGAGGACTGATTCCAGAAAAGACATGGAAGACTAAAGGAATGCTTGATATTCAGGGTTCTGAGTCTGAGTGATGTAGAAAACGTTCTCCTTTGATTGTAAAAACCTAAACGTCATCTATTTGCCAATGACTTACTCAGACGTTAAGTTCTTTTTTATTGCACGTATCTAAGCTTATCCTCTGTGGTTTGACCACTTGGGTCTCACGGTCTAGATGTCGCTGCATTCAGATTTCTGAGAGCTTCTGTGATTGGTATTCTCAGAAAATACATAACACAGTGACAAAATTAAAGTCCTCATGGAGTCCAGCATCCACAGATATTTACATTTGAAAAAATAGCCAGAGTTGGAGAAAAAGGAGTTAAGTGCCAGAAGTACAAAAGATTTGCCAAGGAACTGATGCACATATTTTCCATGTTCTCTCATAAAAAGCAAAGGCATATTTGCATTCTGCTTTAAATACCAATATGTAAAGATCCATTCATAGATACTGTGTTTACAACTGACATTAGTTTGATTATTGATTATTGATTAATGAATGAACTAAAGTTCTGCTTTAAAATAAATAAGAATTACTAGTGAAATTATTCTATTTTGAAATACATTTGCTTGAATATATTTATTGAGAATCCCATGTTAATATTGTTAAATTTTTAGCTTGTTCTTAAAAATGAAGTTGCATACATAGAACCTGTGACAGGTATCCCAGTGTGAAAGGTCTGTGGTGTTGCCTCAATATAGATTAATTAGTTTGTCAGGTACAATTCATGAAACAGGAGAATGATCTGTCTTGCTCATTATGTGAAGCCCCAGGATTATTCCTATGGAATGCTGTCTGTGACTCTTCCTCTTTCCTAGCTGGAGAAAACCAAAACTTTTAAGAAATAGCGGATTTGGTTATGGATGGAATGTATGAGAATAACTTTTGATATACAGTGCTCATGAAATAATTTTTGATCTGTGAATGTATAACACTGTGAGGAATATGAATAAAATATCTTTAAAATACCATTATTGTATATTTAGTCAGCTAACTAAAAAGTTAGTTAACCAGCCACTGTACATCCATGAAAATCTTGATCCTTGCATAGAGGAATTCCTCGTTTCCATTCTTCAAGAATAAAAATATTTTACCAAAATGTTCTATATGAAGTTACAGTGTGGCCATGGTAAATGTTCTTAACAAATTTAAAAATGAACAAAGAAATACTGTAGCATTTAATTAAACATGGTAAAAGGAACTTAATATTCTATTTTAGATTTTGACAGAACAAGTATGCACTCAAGTTGTTCATAAACCACATCCAGAGCCAGATTCTACAGTGAAAATTCAGAATCCAAGTAAGCACAATACCTTATGTTTGTATGTTAAATGTATTGCCTAGAGGTTGTGGGGTTTTTTGAAAGAATATGGTTCAGGAAGCGAGAACAATTCATTAGTGTATCTCAAATACATATGGGTTCCAGTTACTACTTACATTAGTTGCTGTCAGCAACTTTTTTTTTTTAAATGTTGTTAAAATGTGTTACGTAACTAATTTATTCTTTCAAAGTGATTCTTAAGGTGGTGGCAACGCTGTTAAAAAACTCCACGCCAAGCGCAGAGCTGATGGAAGTTCGACGTTTGTTCTTATCTGATATGATAAAACTCTTTAGTAATAGCCGCGAAAACAGAAGGTATGTCACTACAAATAGTATTTTCTCGTCCTTGACTTGTGGGTAATAGCAATCTGTTGTACTCTGTGAGGAGTTTTATACTGTATATTAAATGGAATATATAAAAAATAAATGGAATAGGTCTGTGGTAACTTTTCTTAGTTCAGCAACTAATACTGGGTTCTTCTGTTTAGAATATACTTTAAATTTTTATTCATCCTGAAGTATTTTTAAGTTTCTTCCTACCATTGGATTGATGTTCCGAGGAGATGTACCATATTATTTTTCTCCTATTTTAACCATCATAATGTCAAAATAAAGAAGCTTTGTTTGGATATATTTTGACCTAATTATTTCACTTTAGATGTTTACTTCAGTGTTCAGTGTGGCAGGACTGGATGTTTTCTCTGGGATACATTAACCCTAAGAACTCTGAAGAGCAGAAGATCACAGAGATGGTTTACAACATTTTCCGTATTCTCTTGTATCATGCAATAAAATATGAATGGGGAGGCTGGAGAGTGTGGGTGGATACTCTTTCTATAGCTCATTCCAAGGTAAGAAATGGCTCGTGGATGTTTTTTTTAATACTGGTAACGCCCCCAAAGGGACTAGCAATATAGTGAGATAAGATGTGAAGTGATTTAGTGCCATCTGGTGGCTATCTCCTTACATGGCAAGGTGGCATTTTTTTGTCGTCGTTGTAGGTTCTTTACTGTGAAACAATTTGTAAGCTGTATGTAATATGTTGTTAAGATTCTTGTTAGTTTTTGTCCAAGTTCATGTAGCATATATTCATCCACATAATCTGTTCTTTTCTTTTAAGGTCACGTATGAGGCTCACAAGGAGTATCTAGCAAAAATGTACGAAGAGTATCAAAGGCAAGAGGAAGAAAACATAAAAAAGGGGAAGAAGGGGAACGTGAGCACTATCTCAGGTCTTTCCTCTCAGACAACAGGAGCAAAAGGTGGAATGGAAATTCGAGAGATAGAAGACCTTTCACAAAGCCAAAGTCCAGAAAGTGAAACGGATTACCCTGTCAGTACAGATACGAGGGACTTGCTCATGGCTACAAAGGTGTCAGATGATGTGCTTGGAAGTGCTGAGAGACCAGGAGGAGGAGTGCATGTGGAAGTTCATGACCTTTTAGTTGATATAAAAGCTGAAAAGGTAGAAGCTACTGAAGTAAAACTTGATGATATGGATTTATCACCAGAGACGCTGGTAACTGGAGAAAATGGTGCACTTGTAGAAGTTGAATCTCTTCTAGATAATGTATATAGTGCTGCTGTTGAGAAGCTGCAAAACAATGTTCATGGAAGTATGGGTATTATTAAGAAGAATGAGGAAAAAGATAATGGTCCCTTAATAACTCTGGCTGATGAGAAAGATGAACCTTCTACTAACAGTACCTCTTTTCTCTTTGATAAAATACCTAGTCAAGAGGAGAAACTTCTACCTGAACTTTCAAGTAATCACATTTCTATTCCAAATGTGCAAGAGACACAGATGCATCTTGGTGTAAATGATGATTTGGGATTGCTTGCACATATGACGGGTAGTGTAGATATAACATGTGCTTCAAATATAATAGAGGACAAGGAGTTCAAGATTCACACAACTTCAGATGGAATGAGTAGCATTTCTGAGAGGGAGTTGGCTTCATCATCTAAGGGATTAGAATATGCTGAAATGACTGCTACAACTCTTGAGACAGAGTCTTCTGGTAGCAAAACTGTACCTAGTGTTGATGCAGGAAGTGTAATATCAGATACAGAAAGATCTGACGATGGTAAAGAAGCAGCAAAGGAGATACGGAAGATCCAGACAACTACCACAACCCAGGTAAGTTTCAAGTGCTGTAGCCATGTATGTGTCTGATGTAATTGCTGTACGTTGCTGCTGGATAAATGAGTCGTATGAGATCTGAGAGATGTTTGAAGTATATTTCTTTAATTATATGAAAGGTTTCCATCCTCCAAGCCTATTTGCTTTGAAAATGCTGTAACATGTGGAAGGATTGTGAAGTCTTTCGTGAATATAGAAAATATGTATTGCAACTGTGGATGCTTTAGTTTAAAAAACTTAGCTAAGGGAATCTCTCATCCATTTTCCTTAGTTCTCATGGAGAGATTAACTAATACTCTTAGAATTCTGCTTTAGACTTTCTTGTTAGTATGTCTTAAGATTAGAAATATCTATATTTACTATGAAATACACATTGAAGTATTCTACTCTTGCTGTACCTTTCTCAGAATGTAGTCTTGCAGCATTTTAGTACGCTGTCTTTCTTCCCTGGCATAAATAATCTCCATATTTGATCCTAATACAAGAAAAGGAATAGTTTAGGGATAATAGAAGAAAAATTTGATTTCCAGGCCACAGATGATTAATTTAAAAAGTATCTACTTTCTTCTTGGAGATCCTTTCTTGTCTAGGTCTCCCTCTGAAAAATTCTGAAAAATCAGTGTTTTTATGAGAGCCATAGCGTTCTGAAAATGGGAAGGCCAAGGCAGAAGTCTACTCTTTGAAAGAATTTGTACTCTGTATACACAGCAAAATATAGGATCACTATGAACTTTTAAAGCACAGAATTAATTTCCTCGCTGGCATTGTTCAGACTGCAGCACATAATCAAAGATTGCTTTTAAGGATGTTATCGAGTGAAAGAGTTGACTACCTTCAGGATTTTACTAGCTGACTATATGTCCAGTATGTACACCAGTATTTATCTTCTAGGATTTAAAAGTCAAGCAGACTTCCTGAAACTATGGAAGAACAGCCAAACAAAAATTGCAAAAATTGCTCTACCTGGTACTGTGTAGTATGTACCAAATCGTGAGAAGAAAGAGTTTTAGAGATACACTCAAGTACACTCAAAGTACATGTCATCTGATGAAAGAACACAGATCAGCCTGCCCGCTTTGTTCTTCAGGGAGACAATACTTTCAGAAAAACTCCAGTGAATGGACATTTTAATTTATTTAAAGAATCTGTGGTTTCCAAAACAGATACTTCCCCTTTTAAAAAAAAAATTTAAAAAACGGTTACTCAGACCAGTGGGTTCTGACATACAGAAAGAGCACTGTCTTCTAAGTCTGTCTTCTATGGTAAGAACCTCTGTTTTGAAGAGAAAAACAGATGGAGCTCTTGCATTCCCTAGACAGGTATTATAAGAAAAGTTTGGGGTTCTCTTGTAAGTATTTTTTCAAAACTATGAAAATCCTCATAGCATCAGTGACAGACTATCAAGCATTGTGTAGAGATCCTTGTATTTAAAAGCATTCTGTGTAATAAAGAACAAGCCCTGAAAGCTCTCGATAGGAATGGTGTATCTATTACTATCAATTGCCAAACACCTTATGTTAAGTCTTAAAGTTAAGACTGTTAATACCATGGAAACTGATAAATGGAATGAATGGAGGATAGCAAGAAAAAGGAGCACTCAGTTTTTATTTTGAAATATGGATTTTTGTTTAAAGAGTAAAAGACAAGTGAAATGCTAGTATTCATTTGCTACGTACATATATGCACCCATAAAAACAGTGAATTTGTAAGAAAAATCTTTAATGAAGAAGATAATCTGACTTTGTACTAGCTACTGTAGAAAATCCTGTTGGTGTGCCTTTGGGACTTTTCTGTTCTTCAACTGCTTTTCTTGATGAATTTCACCTATAACAGTTGAATCATAAAAATGTAAATTCCTCAAGCGTAAAATTATTTGTTAGGATTAAAATGATACATAAATCTTAATGAACTTTTATCAGATCATTGTAAGATAGGAGGAACAAAATGTTTTCCAAATGTTTTACTCTTAGCTACTCACAAAATTCCTAACATATCATTTGGATTTGCAAATTATCCACAAACTCTGTACTTTTCAAGAGTCTGACTCTACAAGTTGTTTAACTCCCTTGATTCTCCATATACTACTTAAATTACAGTTATTTCTCACTAAAATCAATGATAAACTACAATGAATTGAATTAAGTCTGTAGCCATTATTATCTCTTTTAAATAATTTTCTTAAAAACAATTATCAACTGTGTAACCACCAGAATTGTTGTTACCTTCTAATCTCTTCTTTGGGTGTTTCAAAATACCCTGTGAACTGTAAGCTGTCCATAGTTAAATATCTTTTCTGTTTAAATGAAGTTAAACTTAATAGAAGAAGATGGAAATATGTATTAAATAAAACATAAATTAAGCATTATTGGTTTCATGAATAAAGAGCAATGTTAATTTTAACGTGTCTACAGTGGAGCTGGAGATTGGAGTTTTGATTGCAGCATGCGTGGGAACTGCCACATTAGATTTGATCTCTTTGAGACCACTGAAAATTACTTAGAGACTGGCCACCCAACTGTAGGTAGTTGGGTTTCATGGTGGTTTATGCTATGCACATCAAAGCCCATACTTGCAAATACAGTATTGTTGGCTAGATAAAAGTTCTCCTGTTATGGTACAATTATGATACCATTACTGCTGCTGACGTGACAACTACCTGTAGTTGTACCCAAAAGAGAACAAATGGTATGTGAATGGAGTTGCTAACCTCAAATTTTCTAAAAAGAGATCTACAATCAGCTCCCCACCTTATCAGTAAGAAGTAAGCTGTCTTTCATTCACATGGACTGAAAGGAAGCAACAAATTGCACAAATTGCACAACAAAGTAGAGATGGGAACTCCTGCGTAATTCTAAGAGTTAATGCCTTTATCAATAGTAGATCAAATATTGAAAAGTATAAAATTAACTCTTTCCTATGGTCCCAACTAGGAAAGATTGAAAAGATAATTGAAAGCACTATGCAGAAGATTCATGCAAAAAATTCAAATCTTAGATAAGTCTAAGAAAAAAAGAAAAAAATCATTTAAAGATAACTTCAAGAAAAACATAAGAAGTGAAAGCAACAGTAACAATTTTGATCCCAATAGGTCAAATTGAATGAAGGAAACATGCCATGCTCTCAGAATGCTGGCTACAGAAGATCAAAATCAGACTAAAGATCTGTGAAGCTTTCCAGCTCAACTCCAATGCCATGTCCATTTTTACACTGCTAGCACAAATATTTTGTAAATGTCTTTTTGCTTTTAAATGTTTTAAAACAGATTTAAAACAGTATGCTGAGATCAGGAAATGAATATGTGAGCAAAGCAAGATTATTTTCTGTTTTGCCAGTTTTAGGCTGATCTAAAGTCACTTTAAAATAATTTCAAGGATCAGACTTTGTATTTCTCCTTTCAGAGACGTTGCACATTATAAGTAATTTCATTGTTATGAATATTTACCTCAAATGCAGTCAAAATGTTTGTTCTTTACTATTTTTTCCTTCACAGTAATCTCCATCATATCCTCTATGTGTATCTTTTAATTTTGTCTTTAATCACCAAGTGGAAACAGTCATGACTATGTAGGTCTTGAAAGGGAATGAAATTAACAACCACCACCTGTTGGGAGAATCTAAAGAATGTCCTGAGGATTCATAAAACTGTTAACTAATTAACAAATTGTAACAGAATTGACAAAATGAGATTTGGAAGACTAGACTTGATTCTCTAATGATCCTTCTAAAAAGACCAGATAAGTAAATTGGTTTTGGAAAATGAGGAGCTGTCTAAAAGTACGCTGATTCCTTGAAGCCATCACTGTGTAGTTTGTCCATGTTTTGAGTCAAATATTCAAAGAAAATTGTGTTATCAGCACAAAAGAATAGTTGTTTCCTATAAAAAAAGTCTTGTCACTGCTGACCTTGTACGTGCTGCATTTGGTCTTTTCTATAATACTTCAAGTGAAGAACCTGAGTGTAAAAACATTGGTGAATAGCTGAAAGGAAGGCCAGCCATAGCCCCTCAGTGCTGATTGATTTGAATTGGAGCACCTCGTTTACTGAAGGATACTGCCTGCTTTGGAATATCTCCTATAGTTTGTGCTCGAGTCCAGTTTGAGCCCATCCTTTCTCAAATTCTGTGATCTGTTCAAAAACACATTACAAAACGTTAACATGAGTTTTGAACTTCTTGTCAATGTAGGCGGTACAGGGTCGATCTGTCACCCAGCAAGACCGGGATTTACGTGTTGACTTGGGATTTCGAGGAATGCCAATGACGGAAGAGCAGCGACGACAGTTTAGTCCAGGCCCACGCACGACTATGTTTCGTATTCCGGAGTTTAAGTGGTCTCCTATGCACCAGCGGCTCCTGACAGACTTGCTTTTCGCACTAGAAACAGATGTACATGTTTGGAGAAGGTAGGTGGTTGTTTCTTCTTTAACTCCTGTTTTGTGTTTCCATCAACAAGGAAAGATTAGATGTGTTGTAGAGGGGGTGTTACTGGGATAGTGGAAAGGGAGAGTTGGTGGTAGCTGAAGTGCCCTTCTGTATCTTGTATCTTCTCTTGTCACCCCTTCCCAGCCTGTAACAGCTCTATTTCACAGGTAACCATTTCTGTTTTCTTGAGAGATTGTATAACTCATACATACGTAACTAAACTGAGCTGCTCTTTCAGCTTATGTTTAGCGTTAATCTGCTGCTTCTGTTTCAGACATGAGGAAGATTTGCGTGTCTGCTAATGGCCATTTTTTTCAACCGATCAAAAAGCTCAAAAGAGAGCTTCTCTACCTTCAAACCTTATAAATAAAAACTCTTTCCTATAACATTTTCTAAGGAATCACTCTTTCTAGTTGACAGATTTTTTTTTGCATGCCAGCTCCTCGTTGTAGTTAGTCTTGGTGGTTATGTTATATTTTATGACAGCAATGTGATTTCCTAGTTTTTTTGTACATTTTAACAGAGATACTCAATAACTCATTGTTATCAGAGCCCTTAGGTATAACAGACACTATTTAATCTAATTTCCAGGACAAAATAGTTCATTTTCAGAAAACTGGAGCATAGTTGTATCCAAGGACCAATTTATATTGTATTTAATTTCCAGTTTGGTGAACTGTTCTGTGATAGTCACTAGGAAATAGACAATTTTGATAATTTTTTTGTCCAAATATGTGGGAGGGGTTTGTATTTTGTGTTTAGGTAATGCTTGGAGATTAAAGTTCAGTTTGTAGATTTTCAATTGAAGCCTTTAATTTTTGTTTGCTGGCTGGCAACAATGTTGTTTTGGGAAAAGAACATACTTGTAGACTGAGTATTCCTCAATATCTTCACACTGGTTTATATTTTTGGGGAGTGACTGTTTCATGGGACAATTTCTCACCAATTAGGAGTTGCAGAGATTTCAGCTAATCTTATTAGCATTTGTGGCTTGCAAAGCTATTGCTAATGCTAAATTTAACATTAGTTAATAAAGTTAATATTAGATCAAGGTGTCACCATATTATCAAGTTTCTCCTTTAAAACACTAGCAGGTGTTATCATTAGGTGTTACCAAGGGTGCTTCAAATGGCACTGGTGCAGTATGGTGAACTCTTAATGTTAAATAATAACTTTCACGTGGAAGAAACAATCCCACTGCTTTCAGCAGAACTGCCTGTGAAGTGAAGTACTGGTTGGTGGGAATAACAGATTATGAGCCATTGTTCTCAACTGCAGATCTGAAACTAATCCTGGTGTGAAAATAGGTAGCAATTAATTTGTTCATTAGACTAGTCCTGTTCATATTTTTAGGCAATTTACATGCAAAGTTTTGTAGACAAGATTTTGCTTTTATATGAAAGAAATATTCACGATCTGGTTGCAAAGAATAAATTTATCTAAACTTCTATTTTAACTGGTTGTTTTTAATCCATCCTTTCTTCTGTTCTTGCAGTCACTCCACAAAGTCTGTGATGGACTTTGTCAATAGCAATGAAAATATTATTTTTGTACACAACACAATACACCTCATTTCCCAGATGGTAGACAATATTATTATTGCTTGTGGAGGAATTTTACCATTGCTGTCAGCAGCCACATCCCCAACTGTAAGTACAATATTTCCACCTAGTGGTCATATTAGAAATTGTTTTTACTAATACAAACCACTATTTACATCTGACTTTTCTTCTTTAGGGACTCCTGTCCCCTCTCTGCTAATTCCTTCAAAAAAATTAATTTTATAATCGAAACTGTTAAGCTTTGATATACAGAGTGTTTATAATGTTTTGCATTTGAAATGCTAATTTTATTAGAGAAGTAGTACTAAGTAAGAATAATATTTCACAGATATTTAATACTTCGTTTGAAAGAGAAGACCATTAGGATCATGGTTACAAATCATAATTACTGTAACAAAATGACATGCTTTATGATGGCTAGTCATTGATATTCATAAATCTGTTTTGCATGGCCACCATTTGTTTGCATGCCAAATGACACCAGAAGTCATCACCTCACTACTCTGTTTACTTCCTCCTTCAGTAGGTTCTGACCTTTGTTTCCGTTTTTTCTTTTTTTAATCTTGTATTGAAATAGGCTGATATTTTTACATCCACTCTGATGTTCTTAGTAAGCTGTAATTTCTTAGCTGATCACAGTTCAGGCAGGCAGAGTAGCCTAATAGAATGCTTCATGAAAAAGGGAGAAATATTTTGTAAATATTGCATTATTGTCAATAGTAATTACAGTATTTGAATGTGATGCCTTAACTGTGCATGTAATATCTGTAACTATTTCTTTCATACTATATGTTTTGCCTTGAACATCCCGTAAGCATCTGCATTTAGTATTGGTCTTTGAAAGGGGAGAAAATGAGGCCGAGAAGGGACAAAGAGGCTTCTCTGAAGTAATGTGGCTAGTAGGCACTGGAGGCTACAAATGTAGTTTGGCAGTAAGAGTTCAATTCCTTTTTCTAGCCATTCAGCAATTGAGATTACTTTACTTTGCCTCTACTATTATTTCTAATTAGCTAGCAAAAAAACCTGTTTTGCACGATTTTATTTGAAAGGTATGAATGTATGGACTAGCGATTGGCTAAACACTAATATGACTTTCAGCCAGGCAATTAATGGTTAAATGCTGTGTCTTTACTATTTTCAGTGTGTTAACTGGGGAAATATTTGCTATAAGCAAAAGTGCAAGACTCACAGGAAAGACTTTAGTTCTCTGTAGTCACAAGAATGACATCAAGGTTGCTGAATAAAAGATTTTGCAAGTGCTTCATTGTAATATATTGGCAAGGATGAGAGTGCACACCAAGCCATCTTGAGATGCAGGCTGTACTATCAGTCTTTAGATAAAAGGACATCGGGAGATATTTTTTACAACAGACCTTTTAGACATCTTTTGAAAATGAAGATGTTTTCTTTGCCATCTTTTATATAAAAATATAAAACAGGCACAGCATTAATTACACTGCAATTCCATTGAATGGTCTTGGTGTTTTTTAGCTCGTATCCTGGTTTATGACACTGCAGAGGCATTCTATAGAATAATAATTTTGCAGTTCACCATTTCCCTCTATTCTGGATAATAAATATGTATGTGTGTGTGTATATAGCTAGTTAGTTGATAAAGCTTTATAAACTATGCATCCGTTTGTTAAAATATTGTGTGTGGGTACTGCCTTGCTACAATAGCAGTGCTTTTCATGCATTGATACAAAAGACTACATTTTCAAATTTGTGCATTATGCATGCATTTCTCCACTACATGGGGACTGTGTGTATTACTTAAATGGTCAATTTTGCAATCTGTTTAGGATAATAAAATAAAAATAAATTGTGAAATAAACTAATTCACTAAAAGATCAGTAGCTGGCTTCAAACTGAATTAATCCTACTCTGTGAAATTAAAAAAAAAGTGATTACTTTTGTCCCAGATGTACAGGGAGGGTGGGGAGAAGCAATTGATAAAATCACAAATTAACTTCACCTGGAAATAACTGTTACCATCTAGATGATGATTCATAATCACTTCCACCTAGCAGAGAGCTTCTTCCCTCCTGTTCAACTCCATTCCTGTTCCATCATTGCCTGCCCATAAACGTTAGCAGGAAGGTGGATTTATTTATCATTGTGACAGTTACGAAGAGCCCAGCACATCCTTCCTCATTCTTAGAGAAGGTGCTGTCCCTCAATATTGTTCTGGATCACAGTTATGAAGGGACCAGATGCCCTGTTTGGCATCAGACCACTTCTGAATATCCATCATATGGTGAATGAAAAGAAGTTTCATGCTGATTCTCAGACTTCTAATACTTTCGCGTCCTTGAACTGATGTGGAGAAAGTGGATGGACTGCTGGTTAGGAATATATATCTTCTCAGTCTTGAAAGGGCAAAGTAGTCCAGTGCTTACAATCGGTTACAAAAGACTGTCTCACTCTCCTCCTTCCAAGAGCTGCTAATTGGAAGAAAGAAGAGATCTGAAGCTGGAAGATTTATATAATGTCTCCACTGCATAAAAACACTTACAGCAGGCCTTCTAGTGACACTTTCTACCGGAGTAATTCTCAAGGGAGGAAAGAGCCAATATTCTTTTTCCCTCACCGATTCAAAGAATCACAGAATCATAGAATGGTTGAGGCTGGAAGGGACCTCTGGAGGTCATCTGGTCCAACCCTCCTGCTCAAGCAGGGCCATCTGTCGTGAATGAGTGATTTAGAGGCCGCTTAAAGAATCACCATCAAAGATATTAGCAGAAAGTGATTTTAATAGAGATCTATAAAGTTGCGACCTAACAGAATTCGATGGCAAGGTTCACTCTATTACTTATTACACGGATGAAAACTTATAAAGGAAAATCATCTAAGGGTTTATATTTCAGACACAGTCTAGGTTTCATTCACAATTTAGCAACACTTAATTATCAACTAATCATCAACAAACTTTAGTAACGCTTAATCACCACCACACCATCTAGGGCCAGTTGCCCCAGGACTGTGTTCAGATGGCTTTTGAGTATCTCCGAGGATGGAGACTCCACCATCTCCCTGGGCAACCTGTGCCAGTGCTCAGTCACCCTCACAGCAAAAAAGTGTTTCTTGATTTTCAGATGGAACCTGCTATGTTTTAGTTAATTACATTAATGAATGTTTTTTTCCACAAGATATACAGTCCAAATTTTGTGTTGCATCTCATGAATCCCTTACAACCTCAACCATTTTGTGATTCTGTGTGATTTTGTGATTCTGTAATTTAAACTGGGCATGGTATTAGAAGTCCAGTAAAGCAGTACTGCACTACTGTTAGGAAAGCAAGCTGTCCACATGTTACGTAAGCTGCCTTACTGGGTCAGCCCAAGGGCCCAGTTGGCATTCTGCCTCCAACAGTGACTGTTTGCAGCTTACATCAAAATACAGAAGTCTGAGCAAGCACATTGATTGCTCTAATGATACTTCATTTCAGCATTTAGGATTTTAACAGCTAGAGGGGGTGTCCGGGCTGTCATGTTTAATAATTACTGAGGAATTTATCCTTCTAGACTTTATCTAATCTTTTTTGAAGCTACTTACGCTTTTAGCCTCCATAATATCCTATGGCATTGAGTCTGACAAAGTAATTATATAACCTTTGAAGCACTTTTTGTCTTCATTTTTTTAAGCCTGCTTAAATGTATGAAGTCACTATGTGCCTTACTGTTTATGCTATGAAAGGAGTGGTTAGTCGTGTCTTTATTCATATCCATATCATTTATGACTTTGTAGGCTTGAGTCATATCTCCTGGTGTTCCTGTTTGAATCCATAGAGTCTTCATCTTGTTTAGTCTGTCTGTCTTTGAAAGCCTCTGATCCTCCATATCTCTATTCTGTGGAGCTTTTCTGGGGTGTCAAAACCCTCACATTTTGTAGATCCTGTAGAATACATATATTCAGTTTATCAAAAGTATGAGCTTGTTTTACTTCATTTCTTCCTTTTTCAGTTTCATGAATGGTGACTCAGATATTCCCACTTAAGGCCTTTTGGGCCCATATTGAAATTTTAAAGTAGTAATTCTTACTTATTTCCTCCTAGTGTGTTGTATTTGTGGCATAGGACACGTAATTTACATCTATTTCTAAAAATTAATTTACTTTTTGGTCTGGAATAATGAAATATGAGAGCAAAAAGGCTATAGAACAGACAGTAAAGGTCATTCCATCCTTTTACTTCGGAATGATAAAACAGAATGGAATTCAGGAAGAGAATAGGGTAAACTTAGGCATCCACTTGAAGTACTTACATGTGGACTAGATTTCTAGCCGATAGAGATCTGCTCAATAGAAACAAATGATTCAGCCATCTCTGAAGTTGACATCTAGTGGCTGGTCAGCCAGATCCCTGTAGGGTCCGTCGACTGCAATGATTGTTAACCTGGAGTTGAATCCAGCCTCTTTTTACGAGGTAGCTTACTTGTTTTCTAACAGAGAAGACAACAAACAGAAAGACATATTGATCCCTTATTGATCTCACGTCCTACCTATCCACAGTTCCTTGACTTCAGTGTGTCAGTCTGAGTTCAAGCGAGGCCTCATCCTGAACTGCTGGTTCTTGAACAGTCCTAAACATCTGTTACAAAACACTCTTCTCAACAATCTGCTATGGAATTAGTTATTACATGTGTTCCATTGCCTCTCATTCTTTTAAGGGCATTTCACCTATTTCTCATTAGTAGAATAGATACTCGATATTGGATGCTTGAATTAATTAAGGCTATATGCAGAAAAGAACCAAGAGATAAATTTAGCAAAATTACTTTCAGAATATTGGAGGAATTGCAGATTTTTTTTTTCCTTTTGTGCAACAGATTCTGTATTGTGTTCCCTCCCTTGCTGAAAGAGCAGTACTGTCACAGTTTCTTTAAAAAGATGAATGTTTGGGAAATTTCCCATTTCAGAAAGACTTTTTCTTTTGCATAGTTAGGATTCGTAGTGAAATGGCATTTCTTCTGGGCTGGGTGGAAAATTACTCCATGATCCCTTGTCTGCTGTAGAACAGGCAATCTTAATTATGGAATTTCCTCACTATTGAATTCTTGTAATAGAAATCTGCCTTTTGCCTTGCTTTT